TTTGAAATCCATATGTAGTTTATTCACAATACTAATTTTCCATCAACTTGTTGGAAATTTTTTAAATTGCATCAGAATATTTCTTTTAGTTTCAATTATCAACAAAGTTCATGAACAGATCATTCTTGTATTAAACTTGGGGATCTTGGATCTCTTACTGTGACACATACAGTTAAGCTGATGCCTAGAATTCCAAAGCTGCATATAAGATCTGGGTTCAAGTCCTAGCTGCTCTGTTTCCAATTCAGCTCTCTAGTGCTGATGCCTAGAATTCCAAAGCTGCATATAAGATCTGGGTTCAAGTCCTAGCTGCTCTGTTTCCAATTCAGCTCTCTAGTAAGGCACCTGGGAAAGTAACAGAAATTGCCCCAAGGGTTAAGATCCCTGCACCCACATAGGAGACCAGGGACAGGGTAACAGTGAGGTTCCAGGCTCCTGGTTTCATCCTGGGCCAACCATGGTGGTTGTACCCATTTGGAAGTGAACCAGTAGATGCAAGGTCTCTGTGTCTCTCCTCCCCCTTTGTGATTTTGCCTTTCAAATGCTAAATTATTCTTAATAAAAATAAGATTAGAGATCTCACTTTTAGACAAAGAAGTACCTGACACCTACCATGTGCCATTCTCATCTTTTTAGGTTGACTGATGTACTTATTCTTACAAAAATCCAACCAAATGCTGTCCCTGTTCTTATTTCTTGGATGGACAAATTGCGACACAAGCCTACTGGTCCAAGGTGACAGCCAATAACGTGACAAAATTAAATTTTGATGAAGGCCATCTTCCAACTGTACTACATCTTCTCTTATGTCCCTAGCCCCATTTTCTGCACTAATAAAATATGATTTGACAATAGAGTCAAGTGGGGGTCATGTGATGGCTTACAGGTTAATCCTCCATCTGACGTTCCAGCATCCCATATGAGCACTGGTTTGAGTCACAACTGCTTTATTTCTGATCTAGCTCCCACCTCTCTGCCTCTCCTCCTTTCTGTATATCTGAGTTTTCAATAAATAAATAAATAAATAAATAAATAAATAAATAAATAAATAAATAAATAAAACATTTATAAAGGATTCTCTAGTACATTTGTATTCATTGTATGGGGAGATTTAAGAAAAAATAGCTACAAATCTGATATTTTGCAAAGCAGTTAAAATAACCACATAATGTATCAGTGTGTCCTAGCTTTATAGCCCACCTCAATTTGATTCCAGCTTCCTACTAATGCACATTTGGGAGGCAGAAGATGACAGCTTAGGTGGTTGGATTCCAGCCACTCATTGGAGACCTCAATTAAGTTAATAAATTCCTGTTGTGCCCTGATCAGCTGTGAACACTTTGGGAATTTGGAATTGAACTAGCAGGTTCAATTTTTTTCTTTCAAACAAAAAATAAATAAAACAATAATAACAACGTCAGAGGTCACAGCAGACAACTCAAACTAAATTAGAGAGGATAAAAAGGTTTGAATTTTTTTCATGTTGAATTTATTAACAGCTAAAAAACAGAGTACAACAAATTAATAAGTTTCTTTAACATATCCAATCAGAAGTTTCTTAGAAATAAAGGGACTAAACTGCAATCATCAAGCTTCATTGAAGCACAGCTAAATACTAAAATACATGAAGATGAATATGCTTGAGAAAAGGATATGGCTGATGATATTACTATGGAGAGATCAGAAATAACAAACCAACTTTAGCACTGAGAGGTAATTTCCAGTAACAGATTGAGCCTGTTAGTAACTGTACATATACAAAAATGTTGAAAATGATACTTTCACTATTAGAAAATAATGTATGGTTTCCCAAGGGATCTTTGGTGTGGAAAAATATAAGCTTAGTTTAAGGAGAAAGGAGGCAGATTAGAAGAAGAGAAGTGTTAAAATGTTTTCAAGAAATCACAAAGAATGGCAGAAGGAAAATACAGAACAAGGTATTAAAAGAACATCAAAATTAATGAAGTCTATTTTTTTAGTGTTACAGAAAACCTGCAAGAAACTAACAACTAACCTTTTTTATTTTTTGTCAAAGCAGTGTCTTGTTTAAAGGAATAATCTTGAACTTTAAGATTCTATGAATACATGGTAAATGTTTCTCTTACCCAATGTAAAATTGAATTTTCTTCTCTTGCCCATGTACAACTGATTATCCCATTTCTCTCCCAAAATACAGGGTATGAGGCAGAATACATGTGTGTATATTTGTTGTCAATGCTGGACACACTTTATAAAGTTATACATACTCAACTTCCATGTCAAGATATAGATTCATGCCAACTCTCTGTAAACTTCTAAAAAAGCTGGAATCTTAGAATTGTCATACTACCAAGAGTCTTACTGAAAAGTCTTCACATTTATTACTTGGGGCACATATGGGGGATTTTGAATTGCACGAAGTCTTCATGAAGGAATACTGTTTGAACTGCTTTTATGGCCTGTGGAATATACTACAGAAGGCTGTGGTTGGTGAACTGGAGCTCATGTGCCTGGTTGTAGCAAGATCCTACTGATGTCTGCTCAATCAATTCTAGTGAATAAATGATGCACAATATTCCCAGAACTTCCAATTGTGTAAAACAAGAATGAATAGATTTTTGTGCAAAGTATACTCATTTTTGAAACTAGGAAAAGTTGCAGAAACTATATAAGCACAAGAAGTTTAGCAGGAGCGGAACTGTCATGTAGGAGAGAATGCAGAAGCATTCTATAAGACTTACATTAACTTTTGGTGCAGATCTGTTTTTATTTGATTTGTTAAATGGGCTGTAATGTTAATAAATTTGGAATATACTGCTTTATTGAGAAAAACAAACATCTGGCACTAAACACAATTCAATTGTTTTCTTTGATTCATATATTTCCAACATTTAAACTACCTCTTTTAATCCTTTGTGATATTCCCCAGGATGCTATCCAGTTTGCTTCCAAATTGTATTTACTAAATCTTACTGTAGCACTTGCCTAATAATAGTCCATTTGTCATCTAACATTCAAGCCAAAACTTAAGATGTAGACCTCAGTGGAAGCTATTAGATCTTTCTAAGACAACATACTATTTGTCTTTATTATAAACTGCATGATAAAAGTAATTAAATATGAATTTTATTCTAGAGATAATGTAAAGGATAGCATTCATCTTCATAAACAATTGAGAGAAAATATATCTTACAGTACTTTTTATGACTCTATCGAAAATATGCCAAGAAGTTAGAAGAAATACATGTCTTTTAGGAACCTAATTACTTCCTAGGATATAAGGAAAAATAAAGTCCTTCCACTAACCAGCACTGCTTATATTTCAGAGGTTGAGTTATTCAATACTAGAGCGGCTATCAATGTAGGTAAATGGGAAGCCAAGACTTTAAAGAGGATTACCTTATTCTTACAAGAAAGATAATGACAAATTCATGAGGAGAGAAGAGAAAATATAACCATGTTTGTTAAGATTACCATGTTAGTCAAACAACATACTTCAAAAAAAATTCTAAACACACTTGAATTACCATATAAAGTTTTTTAGGACTGTTACAAGAAAAATTAAATGTTTTCTATGTGTTGAAAAGTCTTCCACACTTTTGAAATTGTAACATACTATACTGCAACACAGCTATTCAACTTTCATTTCTGTGTTTACATAAAGATAAATATTAGCTTATAATGACAATTTATAAACCAAAAATAAGAAATACTGACTTTATTTGCTAATTTTAACTTATTTTTAGTTTTAAATAATTGTAAGATAGGCAATACTTTTTAAAAATGTATTAAGATTTTTCATAAAAGTATTAAACACAACATAAATGTACTGGTCATCAAATGTCATTACTACATAATAAGCTCTTGAAAGTTTTAATTGATTTTAAATCACTTACTCACATGAACTAAAATATAATTTGATCTCTGAGAACCACTCAAAAAAAAAACTAAGATAGTCAAATTTGTATTGATTTTATGCTAGCAGATTCTTAAATATACCTAATCCCTTGTTTTTGGTAACCTCTATTGAAAAACATTAATTTCAAAGTCTATAATCACTGTGTAAAGAAGAGAAAATTGTGACTGATGAAGCTTCAATAACTCAATGAACATTCATTAAATATATGCTCTTCTCTTAATTTTGTCTCATGTTGCACAAAGCGAAAATGTCAAGTTACTCTAAGTGTTGGAGTATTATTATTTTCTCATTTTATGAAAATATAATATAATCGGAATACAGTTAAACATAAACTGCCTTAATCAGTGAATGCCAAAATGCATACTAGCTGCCTCTAAATTCAACGATACTAAAACATTATGGTCAGGTTCATCATGCCAACTTCCTGAGATTCTCATAAGTTCATTTTATTTATAATAATCGTACTTATATCAAAACTTCTTTAGTATAAAGAAAAGATAGCTCATGTATATGCTTCCACTTCAGGGAAAAATCTTGACTCATAAATGACTATAGAGGATTTAATTATGTCCGCAATGTACAAAGCATTTAATGCTAAAAATCGCTACTATTCATAATTCTGGATTACTTAATTTACCTATTTACTTAAAAGGTATTGAAAAAACAGTGTGTTTCAGAGAATGATTCCATATTTCAATTCTTAATTTTCACTATTTTTATGTAACGATTACATAACTAATTTTTGGAGACCTAGCGTTGCTAATGAAAATTTAACCATTAGATGAATGATTAATTCTAGGTCCATGACTTGAATATATATATATAATATTAAGCCTTTAATTCAAATGAAGCACATTACAAGAAACTTCCCTTACCTTATATGTAATGTAAACTATGGTTCCAAAAGTAATTCCCAGTCTTTAACTGATTAACTTAGCAACAGTCTAACAAAGGAACAAAAACAAAAGTAATTCAACCTCTAAAACAAATTTCTTAAAAATTACAGCAGCTTGCCTTCCTATCTATACTTAAACTATCTTAAACATTCTTTAAACAGCATTCATACAAACAGCATGTATAGAGCTTGCTGTTTAATTTTTACCTTGAAAGGCACTGGTTCTTCAGTAAGAGGACTAACAGGAAGTGACGTGGTACTGCTTGCAGGGCTCATGTCTGCACTCTGGAAGGCAAGAAGCATTGATTTAAAAAGGGCATTTTGATAGTCATTTTGAGCACTATTAATAGAATACTTCTGAGGCCAATGTTTTGTTGTAGCAAATAAAGGTACTGCCTCATGCCAGCATTCCATATAATCATCAGTTCATCGTCTTTTGGCTCAATTTATAATCCAGCTTCATTCCAATGACCTCAGAAAATCAGTGGAGATAGCCAAAACATTTAATCTCCAATTACTATCATGGGGGAACAATGGAAACCTCTTAGCTTTGGCCTGGCCCAGAATTGATCATTGGAGCCATCTGGGGAGTGCACAAGTGGATGGAAGATCTCTCTTTCTCCCTTTCTTTCTGGGCCTATTTCAAAATAAATCTTAAAATGAAAACCAACAAGGATCAGCATTGTAGGACACTCCTAATGAACAGCTGTTAAAGTCCCATTTGCTCTGCTCCCAATCCAGTTTGTTGCAAATGCGACTGAACACATGGGACCCTTCAACCCTTTTGGATGACCTGGTTAGAGTTCCTTCTCCTTGCTTTGGCCCAGCCCAGGTTCAGTTGTTATAGCTACAGCGAAGTTAATCAATTGATGGAGACTCTTTCTCATTTATTCATTCATTCATTGCACTCCCACCACACATCTCCCAATATTCTTTCAAATAAATCAATCATTCTTACAACAAAATAAAAATAAATGAGTAATTATAAAGACACAGATGGATGACATTTGGCCTAGTGGTTATAAGATGCACTTGGGATGTCTACACAGATATCAAGCATCTGGATTTGAGTTCCAGCTCTACTCCTCATTCTGGCTGCTGGACCATGATTGGCAACAACTGTTAACTCAGGTAGGAGGGTCCCTAACACTCACACTAGAGAGCTGGGTAGAGATTCCAGCTCCTTAGGTCTATCTGTCCCTGGCCAAGCCCTAGCAGGCACTTAGCGAATACATCAGAGGATGGGAGATACTTCATGCTCAGTAGGTCAAGTCAGTCAGTCGGCCAGCCTCTCTGGTTCTCTGTAACCCTACAACTCATATTAAGAACACAACACACATGTAGAAAAAATAAAATCAGATTAGAGGATTTGTACAATAAGTATAAGTAGTTAACCTGATAATCAAAAATTCTCCTCAGACTACCAGTGCATTAAATATAATGTCTTGAACTCAATTTCCTATTTACTTCATTTTATTTTTGTGAGAGGCAGAGAGAGAGAGAAACAGAGAGAGAGAAAGAGAGAGAGAGAGAGATTGACTGATTGGTTGATTCCATTCACTCCCTAAATACCCGCAAAGCCCCTGGCTGGGGCAAAAGTTGTGAGCTAGATGCTGCAACCGGATATTCCAGCTGAGTGTCAGGAATTGTATTATCTGAGCCATGACTTCTGCCGATCACTGCCTGTACGAATAGAATTATATATTTAAGAACTGAAGAAGCTGAGAATTGAACCCGGCATTCAGTTGCAGGCCACAGGCACAGAAGGCCTCTTACAGAGTACTATGTAGTATTACGTTCAATTAATTTGTTTACTTTTATTTTTTCTTTAAAATTAAATTATATATGCAGTGAATCATTATTTTTGCTGTTTTATTTCTTTCAGGAATTGTTATGCATTTTTTCTTTTACGGAGACTTACACTACTGTAATCATTTTTTTTCATCATGTAAACCATACCTGTTAATAATACACAATTGAAAAATTTTTAAAAACCTATCAAATTTTTAGAATTCCTACCATTTTACATTTATACACTTCTTAGTTCCCTAAGAAATAGGCATCTCACTTAGTAATTAACATACCCTGTTCTTTCTCAAAGTGGCACTATTTTTCAGTGTCAACTCTGCCAATGCAGAATCTGGGACACATCCGGTAATAATCAGAATACCCGGTGAGATCCTGACTCTGGCCCCAGGGCCAGTCCTATGAATGAATCAGTGGGCAGGATATATGTTTCTCTTGAGCCGCTGTGTTTCAAATAATTTAAAGAAAGCCTAAAACCTTAACAGAAAATTAAGCACCATGGTTAACAAAAATATTAAAAAAGAATTAGAAAGCAGCTTATGTTGTTTTTAATGTCCTTCAAAAGTGCAGGGCCTGCAGTTCTATTTGGGTCTCCCACATTGGTGTCAGCAACTTCTGTTACTGGGATGCATTAACAAGAAACTGAATCAAAACCATAGCAGCCAGGTTTGAAACCGGAATTTCGATATGGGTTTCAGCCACCCCCTAGTGATGGTTCAACGTCCTGAACTACACAATACCCACTCCTAGCCAATTTTAAATTCCAAATTTAGCTAGAATTTTGAGGTCATTAATTGGCTAAAATTTGAAAGTATTTTGAATTGCTGAGTCTTATTTTCATATTTTGTGATATGACAAAGAAAGCTTATTACTGCAGGAATCTATCATAAGAAGCAAAATTCTCAAGTAAGTAGAAAAAAATCACAGGAAAATGTGCTTCCCTGTTAGAATTATAAGAATTTAATCAAGTGACAGTTCACACACAGTTCACGGATAGTTGGGTTATCTGGCATTCACTTATTGTATTGATGGGATGACCAGGTTTTTAAAGTAGAATCATTTTCAGGAGACAAAGGTGATATTCCATTGTAAAAACACATAAAACTATTCTTGAAGACAAAACATTTTAAACTTCATTAAGATAAAGAAACCAAAAAACAATCTTCCTGGAAAGGTTCTTGAAAATGTTGATATTTCCTACAAAGTCCCAGGGGCGAGGGAGTAATCCTAAGGAATATAGGAAGCAGACAATAAACTCTTGCATTATTTAACACTGATTGCGTGAATCTCTGGGAAGCTTCGTTCTTGCTTTTTAACTTTCAAGTGCATTTTATACTTAGACACTAATTTTATAGTTCTTAAGATATATTGAGATAAATTTTTAAAAATAAATCAATCTTAAAAGACAACATTTGATAAGCTATAATTAGTAAGTTCCAAAATACATATGTATCAAAAAGTGGAAAAATCGCAACTCTCATCTTATTGTTTCCTTACTACCTTTCCAGTGAGTGAGCTGTAATTTAGGTGTCATTTCAATTTGCTCACCCTTTTAGATACAACGCTATAATAAAACTTTAGAAGATAAATCTAATGCCAACTTCAAATTTCAATTCACTCGAAATTGCAGTCAGTAATAGCCATGCAGGTACAAGTGTATGCCTAGATAAAAATAATTCATAAGATAATATTATCAAAGGTTAACAGTGTATGTAACTGTACTTTCTTCATAATATGCTTCATTGCAATTATTAAATTATTCACTTTAGATGAATCAGAGACTCTGGAAATGGTTGGTTCATAATACTACAAAAATGAGCACTGGAAAAACAAATGATCTATTCTGTAATAAGCAAACAGCATGACTCTCCTTGATTATCATGTACAACACTTGTATTTTTTAAACCACTGAACACTGCGCTAAACGTTTTTGTCATGTTATGAGAGGAACATGCTAATTCTTACAAGTGTCCTTAACTCAGCTTTCTAAGTCCACTCGATAACCTGCTTGCCTCCAACAACAGTGTGGCTAAGACACGCGCACGATTCTCCCGAGTGTGGGTGAGTATGGAGCTTCCTAGGCAGGTGGTTCACGGAAGACAGAAACACAGCTTTAGTTCAGAAAAAAAGAACAGGGATTCCGGGAAAAGTCATGTCCCATCCTCTCAGAAACAGTGCTCGTCCCATAGAGTCATATTTTGATGCTGGGGATAATGGGGGAAGTAAAAAGAAACAAAACTGTAGCGATGAGAGGGACGAAGTATATTATATTCTTAAAATTTCTAACTAGAATAACATATTGTTTAAGTTTTGCAAACACCATGCCAGTTTAGGATATTATGAGCTGCCACATGGGGCCAGTGCTGTGGTGCAGCTGGTTCAGTCACTGCCTTGATGCCAGCTTCCCATACAGGAGTGCAGGCTTGGGTCCCAGCTGCTGCCTTTCTGAGCCAGCTTCTTGTTTAGCAGTCCTGGGAAAGCAGCACAGGATGACCTAAGTACGTGGGCACCACTCACACGGAGACCTGGCTGTAGTTCCCAACTCTGTGGTTATTTGAGGAGTTAATCAAAAAATGGAAGATTTCTGTCTCTCATTTGACACACACACACACACATATATATATATATACATATTTAATTCGTAAGAACTATCACACATGGTAACTGATTTCAAAAAGCCTTAAATGAAAGCAACACCACATTAGAGAAAAACGGTGGCAACAGGGTGATGACAATACTTAATTTCTGTAAGATGGTTCCTGAATCATTTTTTAGACTCTTTTGTATCAAGCTAGAAATAGCAGATAAGTCATCTCATTGAAAATTTCAGACTCCAGTATAATTTTTGCAACTCTGTCAACCTAATGCCTACCTTGTCAACACTGAAATCAGAACGGCAAGTCCTTTTTGAAGAGCAAAGATTTTAGAAAGAGGTCAATTAGTGAAAACAACCAGAGTGACAGTAGGATTTCAAATTATAATAGCTGATCTTTCATTAAATAAACATTAAGCCTGAAAAACATTTTGTTGAAATAGCAGTTTGTCCCTCAAGTTAAAATTCAGACAATAGTTTAGGGTAATGGCATGCATCTTGTATTGCAAACAATATTTTCAATGTTTGATTACAACATACTCTACCGATAATACTTCATAGACAATAGACAAAGGGCAAGGTTGATCATTTTGATGCACAAAATACTTTTGGAAGAAAAGAGAAACTGAAGAGTAAGATGTAATATTAATATAAAATAGAAAAAGAATATTGACAGTAAGAGGGCAAAATTATGCTGTAGCCCTACTGTCATTCCTATTGGTATTAAAAGCATAGTCCTTTACAGGAAATTAGAAAAATCTGGTTGTTGGGCCAGGCACAGTAGCCTAGTGGCCAAAGTCCTCACCTTGCACATGCTGGGATCCCATATGGGCACTGATTCTAATTCTGGCTCCACTTCCAATCTCGTCCTCTGCAGCCTGGGAAA